TTTCAAACTGTTACTGCTTTAGGTCTAGATGTTTCCAAGCCTTTATTGATAATTATTCTGAAAATACATAATAACGTGTTTTAATAACATATTGCGTAATGTTCTTACTTATGCTTTGTTATATATGGACTGTCCCCAAAAGTCTTTGAAACTTATTTTTAAGAAATACATCATAAATATGCTACAAGATTTTCCGCAAACCACTTTGTTATTCCAAAATCTCATTTTAAACAGAGTTCTAATTCAACTCAGAATCGCGGACCACTTTTGTAGAAAAGATTTCCAAACATTGTTTCCGAAAAGAAAACTTCTCTACATCAGTTCAAAACCGATTCAAAACAGTTTTTATTAAACACAGATTTTGATTTATTTTATTATAAGTCTTTCTTTTAAAATAGATCAGATATATCAATTATAAATAAAAACAAGATAACTGTTCCTTGTAATCTTTAAAAAAAAAGTAAAAATTTTTTTGACAGTAACCATTATCACAAATCACATTTTCTCGCTTTTTATTTTTTGTGTGTACACATAAATACTCATGTATGTGTATATTTGTACTTATTTATGTGTGTATGTGTATGTGTGTATATGTATACATGTATATATATATATATATATATATATATATATATATATATATATATATATATATATATATATATATATATATATATATATATATATATATATATATATATATATATATATATTATATACAAACAGTATTGCGTACTAAGGTAAGCAATCTGACGTCATACTGAAATTCATGTTAAAATATTATTTTTCAAGTTACCTTTTAGAAAATAATTTATGCCGGTACATCAAAAAGTCAAAATATATATATATATATATATATATATATATATATATATATATATATATATATATATATATATATATATATATATATATATATATATATATATATATATATATATATATATATATATTATATACAAACAGTATTGCGTACTAAGGTAAGCAATCTGACGTTATATTGAAATTCATGTTAAAATATTATACAAAAACTCACTGCTCTTAATCGTATACTAAAAGCCTAGACAAATTATTTTGCCATACATACAATTTGTTTGACAAAACTAAAAACTTAAAGCCCAGACAAATTATTTTATAAACTAAAAGACAAGGTAAATTATTTTGACATATATACAAATTGTTTTATCTCATTTTGATTTTTTGATGTATTGGCATAAATTATTTTCTAAAAGGTAACATGAAATAATAATATTTTAACATGAAATAATAATATTTTTCAACTACTACTCCGGTGAACCAAAATAGTTTTTCTCTATCAGGTATATTGATTTCCATTTTATCTATGCAATGTTTTTCTTTTTTAATTACTTATTGGTTTAATTTTTCAATTTATATTTATCATATGATGTATTTATGTGGTACAGAAGTACAAAATAATGTAAGGCTTTGTTAGTTTTTTTAAAAACGTTTACTATAATTTTGTTAATGAAATAATGTTGAAGTTTACAAAAAGGAGTCTACAACTTTTTTTCAATTTTTCTGTATTAGCAATTTGTTTATTATTAGAATAACAGGTTTTTAAATTTTTTTTTTTTTTTATTATTATTATTTGCTAATTTTCTTACTTAGATTAATTTTTAATCTAAATTAAAAGTTTAGAAGTTAATTTTTTGTTTAAACATTTCCTAGCTGATATGTTTTTTTAAAGTCATAAGGTTTTTGTATAACTTATTTTAAATGACAGTTTCTTATATCACTTTTATAAAAATTATTTGTGTTAGCTATTTAGAGTAATGAAAAAAATTGTATATAAAAGATCAAAATCTTCAAAATTCTTTTAAGATTTTTTCTTACTTTTTTCAATTAAAAGTGAAGCTTAATTATTAGGCTAGAAGCAGATTTTTGTTTAGAAAATGGTAATTTTAATAGGCAAGTTAATCTTTGCAGAAATGAAAGAGATAAGATTAGGCGAGATGAAATTAATAATTAGTAAAATGCTCGACATGATTCTTGGCTAGCAGCAAATAATTTGAACCGAAATAATGAGAGTGTGGTTAGGCAAGTCGTTTTCTTGAAACTAACATGAAATAATATTTAACAACTACTACTTTGATACATCACAACAGCTTATCTCTATCGGGTACATCTATTTTTAATTTGTGATAAAAAATGCTAACTCTAGAGCGGTTCGCTACTTCTTTGAGACGTCAACAATACAGTTGTGCCGTACGTTTTAAACCTTTTGACTGGAGCATAGACAGAAAAGAAAATGACCTTCCTCACATTAAGAGAAACTTTCAAATAGCGTGCCATCATTGCTAATCTGCAAAGGCCTACTGCAATTAAACTTAAAAAAATAAAATATTATAAAATAGCAAGCATTATAAATATATTTAAAAATCTTTGATCCACCTCAAGAAAACCTGTAACTCTTGCTAATCGCGCTGTAGTTTCTTACAAATCGGCATTAGCTTTTATCCGAGACTAAAATCTAAAACTGCGTTAGAAAGACAACACCTTACCGCAGATGAACTCGGATAATATCTCGCTAATGTATTTTTTTTTTAAATTATGCTGATGTACACAAAAAACTGCTGCTTAACTTACGCGCACAACCTTACCAAAATAACCTAAAAAAAACCGTTCAGTATCTAACTGACTATTTAAAACAAAACAAAAAAGATTATTGCAGCAGAAGACTCGCTCCAATTCCATCCATATGAAGCAATTGTGGACCTCAATTTAGTAGAGATTTAGCTTACCTTTGAATTCACTTACCATAACATACAAATTTTTTAATCTAATTTTCCAAGCCCGGCTTGGAAAATTAGATTGATATTACATTCTATTATTCGATATCAGATCGGATAATCTTTTGCAATGCATAATAGTACCATTTGGATAGATGCTTTTTAAGATCTCGTTGATAAATAAAACTCTAGCCCTTCTTCCTAGATTTAGTTACAACTGGGCGTTTTACTACACTTTATACTGTTAAACCATCTGAAGAAATGACTTGCTTTCTTCATGCAGCAGCACTTAGAAAGCAAGTCAACGGTCTTAACATCAAACCTTGACATAAGTTTGTCAAAACAAATTTGTTTTAAATGAAGCTTGTAATCTTGTTAGGTTACAATTCTGTGTGGTGCAGTGCTTAATAAATTTGATTGTGGTGCCTGCACTCCAGACTCAATTCTCGAATGAGTCAATTATTCTTTTTTTTAGAATATTATTTTTTTTATTAACTATTTGATGCTAATATACTAATAATAATCTATTTTCATTTTTTTATATAATACTTTTTTTCTAATTAACTAATTGATGCTAATATATCATCAATAATTAGTATTAATATAGTAAAAGACACGGCGCTTAATAAATAGTTAAGTAATTCAGTTAATAAATAGCATAAATGCGCGCAAAATTTCTCACTTTTAAAGAAAAATGCAATACCCTTACTCTCGAAAGAAGTTGGCGGGGGAATAAAAGGAGGGGGGATTAGAATTTTAGTCTAGATCTAATAACGAAGGATGGAGTGGAGGGGAAAGTTTAGTAAATGGGAAGTGGTAATTTTTTAATATACAATATAAGTACTTTTTTTAAAAAGTTTAGTTTATAAATCCGAACTATTATTTTATACAAAATACGCTGAAAAATATTTAATTTGGCTTGAAACAATCGCGCATTTTCGAACAGCTGTTTTAGCATAATTTCAATACGATTTTATATGCCGAATCAAAATTTACCAGTCGGCAATTTTCAAAACCTGTTTACACTGAAAGGTTTTGTTTTTATCGATGACTAAAAGAATTTTTTCTAACTTTTAAGGCCGATTTTCACTGATTTTTTTTTTTTAGCTTTGAAATAAAAAGTTTTTGCTGGTAAAAAATAAAAATTGAAAATTATTAAACGGAGGAGGAGGGGGATCTTAATACCTGGAAAACTTTTCAAAAATTAATAAACGTCCTCTCCGCTTTTTTTTTAATCAGCGAATTAAGAGTAATATAGTTTATAATGAAACTCTTTAATGAAACTTTTTAACTTAGAATATTTTATTTTCAACGTTTATTTTAAGTCATTAAAATTTTTAATTTCAATTACTTTTTACTTTTAAACACTCATTAGGTATTCATAATATAAATAAGATTTATTTGCCTTCATCGGCTTCACTTCACTTCTCAAAACAATTATCTTTTACAAATGTAAATGGTTGCTAAAACAGGGGCCTCGGGCGCCCATAAACTTTCTTGTAATAATATCAAAAGTTATTGAGATTTCATGAAATTTTTTTAAAAGCTTTTATAATTATAACACTTTAACATTATCTTGAGGTTTTTTCGTAAAACAAATATTGAAAATATTTTTGTTTCTTTGTTTCATATAATAATTCTTTAGCATTTTAATGCATTTATTTATTTATTTATTTAATTATTCAGTCATCAATAATCATTATTTACGAATTTATTAAAATCATGCTCAGTAAAAACAGTTCGTCGTAAAAATTTATCTAGAATATATATTCTTGTTATTGACGGAGAGAGGCAGACCGAGGGCCCTTCTTTTCTGACAACATTTGAAATTAAGGCTGTTCAAGTCAAATTGAAAAGCGTGAATAAACTTTATCATTAAAGTCTACATTCATAATAAATATTATTTTTTTAGTTTTTTATTTTTTTTAACGAGATAAAAGTATACCAAAATTAAGTATAAAATTATTTTCACATTTTCTAAATAAAATTATATTTAAAGTATAAAAACGTTTACAATGACGTTTCTAAGTAAATTTTCTTTTTTGAGACAGCATTATTCTTTTATTTTTATGGTTTAGTAAGCGTTTTATTTATTTATGTTTTGAATAAACTGTTTTAAATATTAACAGATAATTGTTGAAATACTCTCAAAAGTAATAAATGTTGTAACAGTTACTTACAAATTTGTAATAACGCGTATAAAGATATTATATTGCAGTTCAAAATATACTTGCCTTTTTAGGAATCTTGAAGTAAACTAAATGAAGTTAAAGAAACTTGAAAAATTTTAATAAAGTCAAAGAAACTGAATGAAAATAAACAAAGTACTTGAAGACAAAATTTGAAGTCAAGTTGAAGTAATGATAAAAAATAAAAATTATTTAATGAAGCAAATTTTGTTATTAGTTTTTATGTTTCTCCAAGTTGAATCAAGAGTTCAAGACCAAGTGTTTTACTGGCCAATAAAACCATTCATATTTATAAATAATAATAATACACTAGACGGAATCTTACCACTTTTGTATAAACGATTAGAAGAGTTATGTAGTCCTCGCAAAAAACTTGCTGAATTTTATTTGGTAAACGAAACGTTTAATCAAAATAAGTTTTACAAAGGTTTAGAAAAAGCATCTTTTGGCATCCAAGGTTCACCAAATATAAATAATACAGTGTGGTACCCTTTATTTTTCTGGCCGCAAAATGATTATTTGTTTCCTTATGACGTAAAATACAACTTGTTTTTGTCTTCGCAAATATTGGTGTTGTTGCTAATAAAAAAAAAATAACAATTACAAGTAAAATTATTGAATCTATCAAAAAATGCTATTCAATTGCATTGCATGCTTTTGGTTTAACTTTGATCTTTGCGGCACTAGTGTGGTTAACAGTAGGTGTTTTTAAATACTTTTTTATTAAGTGTTATATGTTGATGTTTATAGAGGTGTTGGTGTATAAAGAGGTATAAAAAGCGGTGTAAAGATTTTCAATATGATTGTCTAAGTTTTATAGTACTTTTATTAATACTTAAAAACCACTTTATAAAATATTCCTTAAAAATTCTGAAAACTTTAAGATTCGATTTTATAATTACTTTTTATTTTATGTTTGTAATAGCGTAGATAGACTAATTAAGATTGAATTGGGTCGGGTAAAAAAACTCAAAGTGAAAATATTTAAAATTGCTAGATAGTTCAAGAAATTTTAGAATTTTTTGTTTATTTTTGAGGTAACTAAAATAGGTTAGTTTTTGTTTGAACATATCTGTACTTTTATTAAAATGGACAACTTCAAAAACTATTTACGATACTAGTTTTTAGAAAACACATATATTATAGGCGATTGGTTTATAAAAGGTTTATAATTATATAAAATTTATAATATATATATATATATATATATATATATATATATATATATATATATATATATATATATATATATATATATATATATATATATATATATATATATATATATATATATATATATATATATATATATATATATATATATATATATATATATGTGTGTGTGTGTGTGTGAAAATTTTATAAAAAGACAAGTTTGTTTTTAAGTAATAAGCAAAATTTTTTAATAAAATATGGCTTCGAAATGCATCAAACAACAAGCTTACATTGTGTTTCTTATACCTTCAAAGAAAAAAAACAAAAACAGCCAAAACAATTTAATGGACATATGACCTTTTTTCTTTGTTTTAAACAATATAAATTCAGATAAACATGTAGTATTCTTGCTTGCTTCCCTGTCGTTGAAAAATTACAAGGCCATAAATATATACTAAAAACATCGAAAGACCTAGAGGACGAACAACGCCCAGTCTCTACTGCTTTACACTTTGAACAAATATTTTTTATCCGTGCTCAAGTCAGCACAATCAACACAGGAGGACAGTGGTCAAACTTTATAGCCACAAATAATACAACGGGCAACTCTTCACTTATCGACAGTAAACTTCCAGAAAACAATTTTGGATCACTCGTAACTCCATCAAGATGAGTAATCCGATGCCTCAGCGGTAATTCATTTGCATACAATAAGCAGACGAACCACTGAAGCGGTCTACAAAAGCGCTTTTTGAACATAGGATCACACCTCGGTGTGTGACCGTATTGACACTAGTGCCATAGCTCCCAATAGCCATTAGATACCTTTTCTAGTTTGCACTCTGGTCTTATTTTTGCGGCCATTAAAATATAGTCCATCAAAATAGAGTTTTGTTGAAATGCCTGGGTTCGTAATTGCTTTCTAACTTTTTGCCATTCTCTGAGAAGTTTAATCTTATCTATTACAACTGATCTGTCCCCCTTGTGTATAAAACCCACATCTTGCAATGTTGCACTGACCATAGCTGCTGCGCAACGACCTTGAACTTTATATCTGTCGCACATCATAGCTACATTTGGTAGTTCTAGTTGCATTTGTTTCTTGCCCTGCTTGTTATTAATATCCAATACTTTACTATCAGTAGTGTCAGTGGTAACCTTAAAATCCGGATCCATTGCATCCATTCTTGAGTCGTCCTCATCAGATGTTGTCAAAACATTTACATCGTCAATTTGTTTGTCAATTTTCATACATTTGCGATGTTTTTCCATGAAAGCATCAATTCCTCTTTGGCGTTTTTGTCGTAACACGAATTTCTTTGAAACATCAACGCCGCCGATCATCGTTTTTTCGTTGATTTTGTTGGTCTGCCAAGAAACTTCTCTCCGGAGGCTGCACCTTATGCTTAAGTTTGCATCTGCAACTTGGAAAATTGATACGTTTGCAGATTGCAATATCTAATAGCCTCAGATCTGTTTCGGTATTGAATCTTTCAAGTCGCTCGGTCTATGCCGGATCACATTGTCTGGATTTATATGGTTTTAGCAAGTATCTGTAGTTGCTGCGGAGCTTTCTAATTTTCTCTACAGTTCTCTTGTGTGATATTTACAGGATTGACGCTTTGATTGATATATGCTTGATAGGTTGCGCTATTCTTTCTGCGACTGTGGAAACTGCAGGATTCGGAGCACTGTCTTTCACTTTTATCTCTTGTTGTATCTGAAAAAAAGTTCGCATTATATCTAACTTTGTTGGCAGCTGGGTCTCTTTGGCTTTGGACGCATAACCGAAAATCGGATAGCATTGGGATATTCTTATGGGCTTTTTCGATGCGCTGCTTGGTGTAGTATTGCATTTTTCCGTTTCCTGAAAACATAAACAACACGAACTAAGTTACAACCAAGAAGGAGCCGATGTATGTAAACTTAAACCCTAAACCAAACTTTAAATTTATTTTTAACCCTAACTCTTCCAAGTTAGCATGATTGACTAAGTTCTGTCACGTAATAATAATAGTGTTACGGTTATGTAATAATGCAATAATTTAATAATTATAGTCGTACTGCTTACCTGAGCATCAGTCAGATTCTTTGGTTTGCTTCTGGGTGTCATAATAACTTCCGACAATTATTGCTTTGCTGAAAAGTACATTAAGTTAATTCTATAATATTTACTTTTTATTCGTTTTGAATGAGTGATAATGAAGAAGGCATAGAATATTTACAACAGTCTGTTGCATTATCTTACTATCTGTTTCACTGCCTTAAACTATAAATATGGTTGCTTTTGGTAGTACATCATTGGAAGTCATACTATTTTAAAAGCAAATTAGGCAATTTTGCAGTCTTAAAATTGGGAAGCCCTGGGGCACAACAATATGACTTCCAAAAATCAAAATATTTTGCACAATAACTATCAAGGTCATAGAACAACTATTGCACGCCCTGCCGTTTCCTAGTTTTTAAGACAGATTTTTTACATTTAGTATTTAGTTTAGTTTAGTTTTTGAACTTCGGTTTGCTTTTAATATGAATTACCAACTTGAAAAAGGAAACACGTCAAATGAATTCTTGCAGGACATTTCCGATTTTTCAAGTTAGCGATTCATATGATAAAACCTAACAAAAGCGCAGGTTTTGATAGTATAAGCCCTAGGGTTGTTAAAGAGGTTTTTTATATTTTTTATTACTCCTTACTAGTTATTTTAATTTTTTTATTCAAAAATTGTGTTTTTCCTGATCTTTTGAAATTAACTAGAGTGGTCCCAATATGTAAAAATGGTGATATCTCAAAGTTATCTAATTATAGACGTTTTTCAATACTCCCATGTTTTTCTAAGAATCTAAGGGAGGAGGGGGGGAAGGGAAACATAATAGGCTTTAAATCTGACAACTCACAAGTTCTTAATAATAATCAGTACGGATTTAAAAAAAAGTACTCGGCAGAACATGCAGTAATTAAATTAGTTAAAGAAATATTAAATGAGTTTGAAAACAACCAATATACTCTTCGAGTGTTTATTAACCTCTCAAAGGCCTTTGATACTAAGAATCATTATATTCTTCTGTACAAACTTAAAAGTTATGGAGTCAAAAATAATAATTTTAAATGGTTTTGTTTCTATCTTAAAAAGATAGAAACAAAACTTTTTGTTTTGACAAAAACTACACTAGAATTTTTTAAATTAGAGTTTCACAGAGTTCTATTCTAGGGCCTGTTTTGATTATTATTTATATCATCTATACTTACCTATCATCTACTATACTAAACTTTAATATTTTTGCTGACAAGACTCAATAATTTTTTATACACACTCTAGCATAAAGGCAATCTTTACCGCTATGAATTGTAAACTTGATAACCTCAATAAATGATTTAAAGCCAACAAACTCTCTCTAAACCCTACCAAAAGCAAATACACTCTATTCTCAATATCTTCTAAGTATTATACGTTGGCTTTAAAACTCCCGGATGTTTCAATAGAAAAAACCAATCTGTAACGGACATTCTATGTTAAATTCTTAAGTGTTTTAATCAATGACCAAATATGTTGGAAAGAGCATATTAATCTAATATAAAATAAATTTTTAAAAAGTATTACAATTATGAATAAAACTATATATATATGAATAAAAAATATTTAAAACCTATTTACTTTTAATTTATTCATTGCTAAAATAGTTGTTGTAACATTGCTTGGGCAAGCACCTATCTGTCAAGACTAACGTGTATCTTAAAAAAACAAAAACAAGCAAGCCACCATATATTAAACGCTAATAAATACACCAGTACTAATCCCCGGCTTAAAAAGTTTGTAGTGCTGAATGTTTACCAATTAGTTATAATATTCTTTTTTTCATGTTTAGATTAAAAAATCATATGCTGCCTAATCTTAAACCTTTTCTTTATAATAGATCATAAGTATCAAACAAAGCATTCGTTGCTTATGTATCAGTTACCAAATATTTTGTTAAAACATTCAAAATTCTCAATAACTTACCGAGGGCAATATTGGTAGAACTCATTTCTCCCAAATAATAGTAAAACTACAATTTTATTTTAGGCTTTTAAAAGTAAAAAAAACAGTTACTTGATTGCGACGTATCTCAAAGATTATTCTATTTTTAAATTTTATTTTATTCTTTTTTATTTCTCAACTATTCCTTTTTTTAAAAAGCGATGTCACCCTCTACATTTTATTTTAATTTTTTTTTTATTTTAAGCAGTAATATAATTAAAATTAAAAAAAAATATGCAACACTTTTTATTTAATAGTGTTTAAAATTATTTTACTGAGAATGCAATTTTTCTTTTTTTTCATAGGATATATATTTTTTTAATGTGTAAATAATACAATGGGGATGTACGATATGACTTTGGTCTTCTGTCTGCTCCAAGCACATCTTAAGTAAAAATGATATTGTAGATAATTTATTATTGGGGGTAACTAATTCGAACCTTGCCCACATCCGCACTGAACTTGATGTTGACAGGCTGTTATTAGACTTGCACAGCTGAACTACACATCATTAGATAGTTTATTCCTTTAGCTACAAAACTATGTAAAATAAATTAGATTTTATAAGTGCAGTTGGCAGTACCATTATAAATGGACAGTGTGTCAAAAGCACTAATTTACGCCCACTTGAACTCAATTTCTCCATGATGATTTAAAGTCGCCCACTGTGTAAATTAAAAAAGAGCTTTTACTTGTGTAGAGCAACGTTTTTTTTTTAATTTTTATTTTTTATTCAACCATATTAATAAAACTTACAAACTTCATCGTAAATTAATACATATTGGTTAGGTGTCACTCATATAGTTACAAACTAGTCAATAGAATGACACCTAAAAAACATAAATATTTCACGAAAAAATAAATAAATAAATAAACAAAAAGAAAAAAAAAAAAAAAAAAAAGGAAAAACTCAACATCTGTATATATAAATAAAAAAGAAAAGAAGAAAAGATTGTTAAGCAAATAATAATGATATATGTAATAATAATAGTAAAAATACAAAGCAATACCAATAATAATTAAGTACCAATAATATTAAGAATATTATAATGCAATACAAATTGTAGGTACAAATCATAGATGATAATTAGATATAATAATAACATAAAATGTAACTTTAATAACACAATAATAAATAAATAAAAGATAGGTAAATAATAAAAAAAAATAAAAATCAAACCACTTGTTCGTTAGATAAATTATATATTGAAGACAACTACAGTACAGAGAGAAATTATAAAGAAATACACTCCAACAATATATTTTTAATTTGAATTCGGTTGAGCAGTAAAAAAACTGTAACTAGTAGATATTTTTTCTTAGACTTTTTTTTTCATGCAGGAATACACTGGTTCCGTTGAGAAATACATTGTTGTTTTATGGATAACTTACCATATTTGATTGTGTTGAAAAAAGAATAGTATAGCTTACTATTTTCTGTATTCCTGGTGTGATGATTATGATCTTCGTTTGTTATAATAAAAAAATTTGAAAAAGAGTTTGGTAGTTTATTTTGGAAAAAGTCAAACACAAAAAGACAATTATAAAACTTCACAAGATGGAGTTTGAGGATTTTTAGTTCAGAAATTTTTTTTTTCGATATCAGATCTCATTGGGGAAAACGTTATTCTAATAGATGCGCGTTGTAAACTAGCAATGTTATTAAGTCAAAAATTTCTTTTTTGACCCCAAACAATACAACAATAGCAAAAGTGAGAAGAGAATAAAGAAAAATAAATCATTCGAAGAGTTTGGATAGAAACATAGTAACGAATTAGAGAAAGCATACTGTTAGCTCGTGTAAGTTATTTTTTTAGATGATAGAGTTGATTATACCAAGATAGGTTTTCATCAAGATATATTCCAAGATACTTTATATATTTTGATGGAAAAAGTTTTTTACCGTTAACTTTAATTTTAATATGATCAATAGTTTTTTTAAGGGAATAAAAAATAATGTATTCAGTTTTATTGACATACAAGGAAATACGGTTACTATTTAACCAGTTACATAAGCGATGAAGATCTTGATTAACTTTTTTACAAAAAGTTGTGAGGGATTTGTTGATATATAAAAGATTGGTATCGTCAGCATAACGAGATATCATAGAATTTTGTTAATGAACAAGATAAATCATTTATATATAATAAAAACAATAACGGTATTTAATATCTTTATGTGTGGATTCAACTCCATTAAATAAAACAAACTGAGTGCGATCCGTAATATATGTAGAAAACCAATGATTAGCAATACCACGTATTCCGTAGTAGTTTAACTTTTTTATTAGAATGTTGTGATCAACCGTATCAAAAGCTTTTTAAAGATTTATGAATACACCACAAGCAAAAAGAACCACTGTTAATTGCACCACGATTCATTTCAGTAATGCTAATAAGAGCGTGAGAAGTGGAGTGATTTAAGCGAAACCCGAATTGTCGAAAATGAAAACAAGCAGAATTATATAAGTTATATAATTATATATATTTTTCTAAAAGTTTGCTGACATTTGATAATAATGAAATTGGTCTGTAGTTATTGCATTCAAGTTTTGAGTCTTTTTCATGAATTAGGATAACAGTAGCAGCTTTTAAAAAATCGGGAATGACAGATTAAATAGTTCAGAAAGTACAGGAGAAATATCATTTGCAAGAGGTTTAAAAATAGGTATTGGAATGCTGTCATTAAGAGAATGAATAATCGATAATACTTCGTTTTTGTCTGTAGGTTTTATGAACATTGAATTAAGATTAGGATTTTTAAGATATTTATTAAAGTCAGTATTGGATGAGTGGATCTTATTCTGTAAAGCTTCCGGACCTAAAACAAAGAATGAATTAAAAGTTTCCGAAATTTTAATGAGGTCGTATATCATGGTGTTGGTAGAAGATAAGCATGAGGGAGATGAGTTAACTCTCGAACTAATGTTTAAAAGGTTCTTTAAACCATCCCATTAGGATTTCAAATTTTTGGCATTGTCATAGAAGAACTTAGAGTAATGGTTCTTTTTACTACGACGGGTGAGAGTAACAAGTAAGTTTTTATATGTTTTATAAGATTTTTCTAGATTGAGTTTGTTATTAGGATTCTTTGCTTTAAGAAATTTGTTAAATATTTTATTTTGCATTTTGATAGAAGTCAAGATTTCTCGTGTTATCCAAGGTTTGGTTCCCCTTGATAAGCAGCGATTGCTGACTTTTTTAAATGGTGCATGTTTATCTAAAAGAGAATTGAAACTTGAGAAAAACTCTTCAATTGACTTCACTACATAATTGAACGCAATTTATTTGTTTTAAATTTGACGAAAAATACAGCTTCTACGAGTATTAATTTTGGTTCTATAAAATGGGTGTTTTAAAACTGGGGCAAATGATCTGATTATTTAACTGTTAAAATAAATAATGAAAAAAATACTATTAATAAAGTAAAAGAAGAACAACGTAAATATATATTTAAAAAAAAGTGATAATTAGTTAAATGATAAGTTGTAAGTATAACATAAAACAATTTATATTAAAATAATAATAAACTATAAATGATTATAAATAAAATATTATAGTTATAATAATAAGAAAATAGAACTATTAATTATTAAGTTTATACTTAGTATTATTAGTTAATAAGTAAAACTGTAGTAACTAAGCTAACAAACTATATAGATTTATAAAAATAATAATAGTAATAATAATAGTAGTAGTAGCAATAATAATTATTATAATAACAGTAATAAAAACAATAATAAGTATATATATAATAATAAGCAATATAAGAAAACAAAAATTAATGAAAACAAACAAGAAAAGCTCGAAAAAAAATAAATAATAATATTCAAAAATAAGAATAATTACATTAAATTTTAAGCGTATTTTAAGATAAACAAATTAAATTCTTCTAAAGTTTCACTACAAACTTCTGGCTTACTGATACTTTTTCTTCTTTGTTTTTTCTTCTTTCTTAGTTTATTTAATTCTTGTTCTTTTTTTTTTTCTTTTTTTTTTTTTTCTTTACTTTTTAATTTTTATTTTATTTGTTTACTTCCTTTTTGTTCTCTTTTTTTTTATTTTTTTTTTTTTTGTATTTATTTTAAGTTTATTGAGTGTTCCTTTTTTTTTTATTTGAAGTTCTTTTTCTTTTTTTTTTTTTTCTCCCCTTCTTTTTGTATGACTTTTCAAGTGCGTTTGTTTAAAGACGATCTTAAGACCGCTAACAAATTTTTTATTTATATAAAACAAAAAATTATTTACTTGTTATTATAATTTGGTTTTATCTTTAATTTTTATATTTATCTTTTCTTTTCTTCTTCTCTTTTACCGTTAAAAAAACGTAACCGCCATTTACGAAGGCCTACCACTGAATGAATCGTTATATATAGTTATATAAATGAAAACGTTATGTAAAGAAGAGTGAGATTAAATCTCATTAGTTAATTTGTATGCACAATTGCACCATTATAATTAAAAAATTATAAAACCATGGGGTTTTTGTGAACGCAAACTTTCTCCCTAGACTCTGACATGAATCTGGATTTGAAGATCAATCTCAATTGTAATTGTAAAATGTGCAAATAAAGTATAGTTTCAACACATCAATTTCTACAAACCGTAGTGATATGATAAATACCCAGGTAACACGACCAATTGGGAACCCATTAGGACCCAATCGGTATGGCAATTGGGACCCAATAGGTTATCCCATTGGGATCCCAACGGTTTTTGGCATTGGTATCTAGATGGGAACCAATTGGGAAAACCAATGAGATTCACCGATTGGGACCCAGATGGATCCCTATCGGGTTTTTTTTCTTATAAACATGTATACTAAATTTGTTAAGTGTAATTTTTTTCGAGTGGAACGGGAAAACTGTTAGGATTTTCAAATGGAGAGCGAGATCTCTTGTTTGTAAACTTATAATATAATATCAAGAAAAACGTTTAAGTAAATAAAATATTTTTCTTTCACTAAATAATAGTTCATAACAAATTTGACAATTATTATTTACAAATATAATATGACAGGTTAAAATTTTTTATTTTTATATAATATATAGGGTAAAAACTGTCAGGAAAAACACTAGAATTAGGATGATTGTAGCATTAGTTTTCTGCCACCTGTCTATCATAACCAATGCTGACCACGCTTTTAGTTCGTTTTTAAGGCTTTCTTGCAAGCAAATCTTTGTGGCAAAATTCTGTTTCGCAGTGACTAAAAACATAATGACAATAAACTAAATTAACAATCAGAAATATAAAAATAATATAATAGTATAGTATTTTCTTATATAAACTTTGTATTAAATAACATAATATAATAAAGTTAAGTGTTCTAATAATTTATAACTTTACACAACTGTTAAATTTTAATTGAAAAAAAAATTACTTGCCAAAAATCTGAAACAGCGTCACCTTATTAAATCCATGTTTGCCTTGACGCAATACACCTGTTAAATTGTATTGCTAAGCTAAAGTCGAGCCGAAGATCAAATTCACATTACTTTTAACAAAATCAACTAAATCACAATTTCCATTTTCGATCATAACTTTCGTCTAAAAGGCAGTCAAACAATGATGCAATTAAAGTTTACAGTTTTTATAAAACAACACTTTATCAATCACAGTGAATGAATGGAATGTCAAATAAGACCAGCAGGTAGTTGTTGTAAAGTAATTCCAGAAGCTCCATTCAGCTGTTTTTGCAGCAAAATTAACATTGCAGAATGTAAACTTTTTTTTTTTAAGTTTGTTTAATTTCTTCAACAATGCAAGTACTCAGGCTTCATAACTAGAGTATTTTATGTGATTTGACCTAAAATCGTAAAAAAATGTTATAAGATATTGTTATAATAGCAATTATCTAGTAATTATTACTTCTCAATATAAAAACAGACTAAATGGATTTATTTTTTACCCATATTTTAAGATTGAGTGCCAACCCTGATATATACACATCAAGCCTTGTTTTAAGCATTAAGCGTAGAGCTATTTACGTAGGCGTAGAAAAAGTCGAATTTAAGCATTAAGTGTTTTTGGTTGAGCAATTTATTATTGATTTTAAATTTTCTTAAACTATTAATATAAAAAAAATTGCCTAACTGAAAATCGCTTAAGGTAAATAGCTCTACGTTTAACGCTTAAAACAAGGCGTGCACATTAAAACTTAATATGCATACAAATCTTTCTATTTTGAATTAATTTTATTAATTAATTAAAAAAATGAAGCTGTTACCTAAATTACCAGAAGTACTGCAACAAGCCATATGTGTTGCAGAAGTTGTCAATATATCTAAATATATAAGTGATTACATAAATATAAGACATAAATACAAGACATGCATATCGAAATTTCACTCAAAGAGTAATCCTCCAACAAATTATTATCTAGCATTTTATTACCTTCAATTATTTCAAAAAACATCTTTATTCTAGTAATGAAAAATAGCAATGTTATTAACAAATTTATTCTTTTGAAGATTCAGAGTCAATCATGGTCAAGTCATAGTCTTAACATCTGGATTATTGCCAAACCTGTATGGTCTATGAAAAATAAAAAAAACTAAACATTTTATGTTAATACAAGATAACCAAACCTGATCCTCTTTCTTTTTCCCTTCTTTCTGTCTATACTTGAAGAAAATCGTGCATCAATTGACTTGTGTCAAGTTTTTTATTCATTTTCTAAGAAAAGCATTATTAAATTTAATAAAATTAAAATGCTCATAGGTTCTCATTAAATTTAATTTGAAATTTGCAACATACTTATATCTGAATCATCAACCTTCTTAATATGTCATTTCATTGGGAGATACTCATTTATATCTTAATATAAGAAACAACATTCAATAAAACATTGCGCTGAAAAATTAACAAAAAGAGTTTAGCTTAATTATTTACTTTATATAATAGTGAAACCAACTGTATATTTAACAACAACAACATTTTGTAACAACTATATTCTCAGTCACACAGCGCACAAGTTCAAATTTATCAACTACGATTAAATGAAATTAAAAACAGCATATATAAATAAGATCACGAAATTTATAATAAGATAAATTGAGTTAATATTTTTACAAATAACACGATATATTTTGTCGTTGTCTTTTTTTGTAAAATTTATTTAAGATATCAAAAGATTTTACAATAAAAAAAAACTCAGGAGTAAATATTAAAATTTGAAAAATTTAATTAAATTTACACTAAATTAATTATTTTTTTTAATTAAAACTAAATTCAATTTACACTAAATTACATTTAAGTTGGTTAATTAACCAAATAAAATGTAATTTAGTGTAAACTTATATATATATATATACATATATATACATATATATATATATATATATATATATATATATATATATATATATATATATATATATAAATATATATATATATATATATTTATTTATATATATATATATATACATATATACATATATATATATATATATATATATATATATATATATATATATATATATATATATATATATATATATATATATATATATATATATATATATATATATATATGTATATATGTATATATATATATATATATAAATATATATATATATATATATATATATTTATATATATATATATATATATATTTATATATATTTATATATATATATATATATATATATATATATATACATATATATATATATATATATATATATATATATATATATATATATATATATATATATATTATATATATATATATATATATATATATATATATATATATATATATATACATACATATATATATATATATATATATATATATATATATATATATATATATATATATATATATATATATATATATATATATATATCTTTATCGTTATCGGTAAAGCTCGAAATGGGGAACCAACTCATTAAATGGTAAAGGCCTTGTGGTGGTGCTTAGTGATAAGACCATTAGTTCTTATCACAAATAAGACCATTAAAGTATTTTTAAACAAAATAATAAAAACGTTTATTTAGACAAGACAAAATTGTATGCATTTTTAGTTATATAAAAATATTGCCAAATATTTAGTACATATTATTTAATATTGTTCTCGCAATCAACTAATGGTTGCAATTCAGATGATAATGAAATAAAATTATTTTTTGTTGCTCCTATAGACTTGTTGGCACGATTTTCTAATTTTTTTCCTTAGCCATTACCTTTTTTTTCTTTTTCTTTGAGCCGCTTAGAAGCATTAAGAAATCGCAGTTGTTTTCTTTTGCATTTTTCTCTTTCCTTTTGGATTTTGTCCTGGTGATATTTCAGCATTGCTGTGTATGCGATTCTTTAAAACGAAGTATTTTAGCTGAACTTTTCTATTCGCTATCTTTTTCCGTACGGTGGCCTTCGGATATGCCAAGACACTATCATGCCCATCATCAACATTGACAAAAACGTATATATTCAATAAAAGAACAAGTATTTAAATAACTTAAAAAAATTTGAATTATTTTAAAACTAAAAATTTATTAAAAGTTGCATTGTTGCTATGCAACTATTAATCACTTGATCAAATGAAATGAAAAAAAAAACTGTAAAATGATTGACTTACCAGAAAATAAAGAGTTTGCAAACGGAAAAATCTGAAACTGTAGTAGAATTAAAGTTTGATGGTTCTAAGATTTTTTTTTTGCTTAGTTTGATTTGTTGAACTATTCACAATGCAGTCATTTTGTGCAGTTAACTGGATTGACTAAATATGCAAGTTGATTATTATGAACAACAGTCTCTGCTTCCAAAATTGAAGTAATGCTTTGTAACAAACTGTTAGATGCGTTGTCTTCTTCAGTGCAAATTTTTAATTGTTCTAGAAAACTAACAACTTTTACAGTATCTTTAAAAGCATTAACGTCGGAAAAACTAATTTGTTAAACAATTAATGATTGGAATTCTTAAGAAAATAATAAATAATACTATTGAAATGCAAGTTAGTACTTTATGGCTCATTCAGAATTTTTATCAATTTGTACATAAAATATTTGTTACAGTTGATAGCTAAATTTTAAATAACAATTTTTGTTGTGCAGTAGTATTAGCAAAAACACGATAGTAAAATACTAAACAAAGAACAATTGTTTTTAGTTGTATTAATTGATCTATCCTCAGCAATGTGTAGATAGTTTGGTAAATATGCATCACTAGGAATAGCCTGTGGAATAAATGCATAAATTCTACACGACTTGAACCCAGATGTGATGTTGCTAGAAGTCATTTTTTTTCCCAAGCTGAAGCAAATATCCCTGCAAAGTTTAAACAACAAGTAAGAATTCCTGGTAACTGACCGATCACATGTTGTGCTATAGGACGATAACAATCCTTCAGTTGCTTGAATTAGGTGCGGTCGCATGATTGAAGTCAGTTTGATGTGTGTGAAGGCATTTCAACTATATGTATCTGATTGTGGATAGCAATTTTAATTAGCTCAACAAAGTTCTGAGAATCGTGCCCATCCAGAATAAATAACTGAAGACGTTGTGGACCAATGTTTTCAAGTTTTGCTGGGCCTAGTTTAGCCCAACGACCAGCTCCAATTTGTTTCTGGAGTCGCGAACTCAGTGTTAAAAACCCTTAAAGACCTGGATGTCTTTCTCTTTACTATACCCTAGGGTGGAATAAACATATCCTGTGAATTCACACATGCAATTACAGTGATTGACTCCTAATTTCCACTCGTTCATCTATGAAATTTTTCGTGCCTTTTTGTGCAATCCCTTTGTTGGTTTTACGTCAAGTTGTAGACCAATTTCATCCATATTTCATGTGGATTCTAGTTTAACGTGAAAACCATTTTTCACCATGACGTCATTCAAAGCACTAACACTTTATCTTTATCCATACACTGATCTCGAAATTAAGCTGTACCCTCAGGTTGTCGCAGAGTAATTTTATTCCCGGTGTTTAACTCTAGTCCATCACTGGTTGCTTGAAAATCTTTTTTTGAAGTTGAATGTATATTTTGCAGCAAGTTTCCTAGCATTATTCAAAAACTGTGACTTTCTACTAACTTTGCTCTATTGCTGGCATAACTAATAAGTTTTACTTCAAGAGCAAAATGTAAGGTAGATTTTTTTCCTGGCTTTGCTCCAATAACAACTTTTTCAGAAAGTCTGTCTATTAGTGTTGTACGTACCGAATTGTGCAATATTGCTGCATTACGAACTGAAAATGATGACTCTGATTTGACATGCTTAATTGCACTCATCATATTTTCTTCACTCCATTTCAGGAATTTGCTCCGTTTCTTAACAGTGACTGATTGAAGAATGGAATGATTAGAACTATTGACACAAGTTAAAAAAACATCAAATGTTGGTAGGTGTTTCATTTGACAAATGTCAAGAGTAATTCTACCAGATGTTAAAGGAATTATACTGTCATGAAGATGAGTTGTATAACAACATATTGTAGCCTCAGAAGAAATCTTTCCGAACGACATCCAGTAAAATCTTGGTGATGATCTTCACCCCCCACTTTTTGTTTTAACCGTGTTTTTTTTAAAGACAATACCTAGATAAATTAAATTGCAGTACAAATACCATATTAACTTAATAGAGTGCTTCAAATTTACAAGAGCTACAAATATTAGCACGTGGTGAAAACTATATGTTAGTATTTGTAATTTATTAAAGAAGAATAGAAACAATCTTAATATACATAAAATGAGTTTTAAACCTTTTGAACCTAACGTTTTGGACCAAATGTTTTAGTTATTTTAATAGCTAAAACATTAGCTTTTAAATTGAAAATAAATAAAGCAATCTTAAATAAAATATGCATTTTTTCTAAACACTAAAAATTGTTTCTAAAAAAAAAACCTAAGCATAAAAAGATAAAATTCCATATTCTTTCTTACCAATAATCATCAGGAAAAGAAAATGCAATAGCAGATAAAGTTAACATATTTGCGATACTATTAATGTTCTTTATCTAGCTAACTTGTTTGATTTTGATGAACATAAGCTTTTTATACCATTACTCAACGCAGAGCCATAGCAATTTATTTTTTAATTCATTTCCTTAATAACAATGCACAGAGAAAGAAAATTGTTTTGAAGGCAACCAAAAATAAATTAGCGTGGATATCATTAATTTTTTATCAAAGCAATTATCAAGGAAGTTTGGGGTTCCTTTATACGATCATACCAAGGATATTGAATTAAGTGTAAATATTATATAAAATAAGTTCCTCAATAATATATAGAATAAAAAACATAAAAAATACTTCTTTGTAAGCATTTAAAAAGATTATGCTTTTAAATGCATCCTTACGAAAATTTATGAAAATTATTTTTCAAATATTTTTTAAATATGTCATCCCAATTTAATGAAAAAACAATGGAGGTCACGGCGAAAGATTTATTTTTGTTAAATCTTCTGGTAGCGTGAGTATAGAACAAAATTAGATTATAATTTAACATGTATAATAAGTAACTAACTCATCAGCTGGTTTAAATTCGGCAAATTAATAAGCAAAAAAATTACTGTATACCGACAAAGTTCTTTAAAGAGATTTAATCTTTTTTTATTTGTGACTCTTTTGAGATCAAAGTTGTTTTGATGTTGATAAGGCTGGTTTACTGCTCTAAAAGAACGTCTTTTTGATATTGCAGCGTGTGAGTTAACTGAAATATAAGCAATTAAAGATGTTGGATGAGATTAAGTGATGGGCGAAATCATGAAAAGTTACCCTAACATGACAAAATATATTAAAAAAAAAACAACAACTTGTATTGACTTTTAACTTTATCTTTGATATTATAAAAAGCTAAATTTTTTTTATGAAAGTATTTTATTAATTAAACTAAAATTGATATTAATGTGATCATCATGATATCTTAAATCAACTTTTTTAATAGAAAAAACTGACTAATTTTTTGTCCTTCAGAAATAAAAATTCTAAAATGATTTAGTGTTAAATAAGTTGCTAAGTTTCCACGTATTAAACACAAGTTTAATTAACTTTACTCATTAGTGACCAGAAAATACCCCTAGTTTTTAAAAAATTTTGAAAGTAAATTAAAATTTTTCCTGAATCTAGTTTCTAAAAAAATAATAATCAATAGGTAATGTAACAAAAAGTTATGTGGATCATCAGCAATTTATGGTTTAGGTTTTGATTTAACTTTCTAAAAATATTTTACTAAAGTAACCAGTAAATTGCAATAATATTAATTAAATTTTTTATTTATATTGACTGATTATATTGGTTTAAAAATATAAATCTATTTATTTTTTATTAGGAATGCAAAAAGAACAAAAATTTCAACAAACTTTATTTAAAAGGATTTGGTACAAGTCTTTGGTGGGCAATTGTTACTCTCGCAACAGTTGGGTAAGATAACCCTTAAGTATTTTTATTTTTTATTTTTTTATTTCAGTGATCAAATACAAATAAAATAATCCATTTAAAATTTGATGAAGAGGTGCTACACCAGGCCCCTCTATGCTGAAGAACAGGGAGATACAGACGCTACAGACAAAGCAGCAGTTGTATTTATAAAGTTACTTTCTTATGTTGTTTTTGAAAGCGTTGATGGATTGAGCATTTACTGCTTCTTGCGAAAGCGCATTCCATGGGACAACAATTCTGTTTGAAAAAAAAGTTTTTTTCAATCTCGCTCAATTTTTTACCATCTGACGACAACAATTCTGCGAAAGCGCATTCCATACGACAACAATTCTGGAATGCGCGAAAGCGCATTCCATACAACAACAATTCTGTTTGAAAAAAAAGTTATCTCACAGTTTTTTACCATCTGACGTTCTAGTTTATGGTTATAGCCTCTCAGAATATACCTAAAACTGACAAGCTCGAGTCTACGAATGATTTTAAATTGTTCGATAAGATCTGCTCCTTTGCGGCGTTCTTCAAGAGTTGTTAAACCAAGCCGTTGGAGTCGATCTTCATAGGACAGGTGTTTAATAGTCGATACTGTTTTTGTTGCTCGTTGTTGGGTCTGCTCGAGAATGGTAATATTTGATTTTAAATGCGGTGACCAGGCTTGTACAGCAAACTCAAGATGGGGGCGAATGTAAGTAAAATATAGAGTGAACCATAAATAAAAACTGCGACTGCGAAATGTTTTTTTGAGTTAGACATTGAGTATTTGTACGTTGACTTGTTACATCCGCGTCCAACATGCATTACTTTGCATTTCTCAACGTTGAAATGCAAGAGCAAAATGTGTGACCATTCCACTGCTATGTCAACCTCAATACTTTCCATAAATTTGCAAGGTATTGAAGTGAGCGAGACTGGCCGGTAGTTAGATGCTTTTAGCCTACTCCCTTTCTTGAAAATAGGTGTTACATTCAATTTTTTCCACAAGTCAAGAACTTCACCAGTTGCAAACGAGCGTTTATAGATAAGCGAAAGAGGCTTGGCAAAGGTAGCTAAACATTTTTTTTTTTTTTTTTTTTTTTCAGTTTACAATTATTAATCGTAATATAACAATATAACAATATATAAACTTGGTATCTGAAAGAAGATTTAAATGATCTTGTCGCCAGAACCATATAAAAGATATAATACGTGTATATATAATAAAATAAAATACAATTGATCAAATAACTAATAACAATGTAGAAGAAACAAAAACTAAAAAAAATTATCCAGAGTAAAAAAAAAGAATTTTACATTTCAAAAATGTTTATATATATTGCCAGTAGAAAAAATATAGTTTTTTAATTTAGTTTTAAAAACGGAAAACGAAATTGACAAATCAAAATTTGGAACAACAATTTTGTTCCATAAATACGGTGCTCTATAGTTTATGCAAAATTGATTAAACTTTGTTTGACAAAAGGGTTCAATTAATAAATTATTATTTCGTAAAGCATATTTGTTTATAGCTTTATAAGTAAAAAGATCTTTGAAATTGGACAATGGTCGTTCACTTTTACAACGAAACATAAAACATAAAATATTATAGACATTGAGTTCGTAAACGTTAAGTGCTTTAACGTTTTTAAATAAAATATTTGAATGAGAAAAACGATTTTCGAAACATATTTACTGAGAACCCATTTCGAAATATTTACTGAGAACCCGTGGATGTAAGCCATCGTAGCCGATTGTCTTTCATCAAAGCTGTTTAGGCATTTTTGTGCAATTTCGATAGAGAAAATTAATGGATCGATGACACAAACTGCTTCTGTACAACTTTCAAAGCCTGGCATTGAACCCTCGGGCTCTAAAACAAAGACTGATTGAAAATAGTTAACGATGCGCTTATATCACCGGTATCGGTTGTGATGTTGCTATTGACTGTTTCAAGCAATGTAATGATGCTACTGACGAAATTTGTGCGTATCTTGACCTGCATTAAGCACTTGGCCCAAGAGGTGCGTTTAGCTTTGACCGCCTCAATAAGTTCTGGTGTTACCCATTGCTCCTGTTTTTCTGTAAAGAAAGTGGTAGTTGACGGAATGTGTAAGTGTATGACGGAATGTGTGAGTGGTAGTTGACGGAATGTGTAATGTGTAAGGCTTCATTGTACACGTTTACTAAAAGTTGATAATCTTTGTTTGCATTTAGTCCAGTGAATACTGTTTCCCAGTCAACAGCTGCAATATGTGCTGATATTGCTGCGTAGTTTGCTTGACTCCAAATGATTCAAGGTTTTAGCGGCAATGTTGGCGAATTTTTGAGGCATGCAACAGTAAATTAGCTTTCGATGAAGCAGTGGGCTTGGCCCATTGGAGTGTCACCAAGAGAATCGCCTTGTTTAATGAAGATTACACGGTCTGGCTCATTTGTTATAATAAGGTCGAGTGTACTAATAGGCTCAATGTATAAGTGGCATTTATCAAGACACTTCTGGAAACCTGATGTCGCCTTGACGCTCACCTCTCACGTGAGCAACAGTTGCAATGTCACTGTTAGCTTCGATAGGCTCATAAGATGTATGGCTAAAATTGAAATCGCCATACAGTAGCATTGCAGAGCAGTTTATTTTAGGCAGTATTTGTTGAGCGGTAGTGATCGATTTGATACACTGAGTAAGATTTTGGTCGTTTTCGTCGTGTGGACGGTATAAGCCAAGTTTTTTTTTTCTTGGCCAAGTTTTATTTTTCGCCAGATTGGTTTAATTGATGTTGAATTGAGCTGAGTAGAACTAACTTCGCTGACTATGATATCGGCTCTTGTGTAAATTGCTACTCCACCGCCCCTATTGTCTCTGTCACCGTCCCTATTGTCTTGTCTATTGTCTCTGTCTTATATATATATATATATATATATATATATATATATATATATATATATATATATATATATTATATATATATATATATATAAATATATATATATATATATATATATCATTAAAGTGTTAGTGTAATAAAAGGTTTAGTTTTAAATAAACATGTATTTTAAAAGCATTTTTTAAAATCAGATACGGTGATGTTGTTCCGGAATCACTAGTTGGTCGAATACTTTCCATATTTTGGATGATGATAGGTGTGATTCTTATTTCTGGAATGACAGGAACATTTAGCTCAGTAATGACAACTAATTCTTTCTTGAGCATACAAAACCAAAAGGTAAATCTTTAATATATGAAGTTATAAAATATTCAAAAATGTCTTAAAAAAATGAAATTTATAAAAAAATCAATATTTCGAAAACCAGTTATTTAAAAAATGAATTGTTAAAGTGCTGATGTTAGTTTAACTTTAAATATTTTTTACGCACAACAGGCATCTTAATTGAATCTTCATGCATAACGAAGCCGGAACAATTTAAAATTACATATCGCTCTCTTTATATTTTGAATAAAATTTTAGCAAAAGATAATATTAAAACATGTGTTGAAATAAAGACAAGCTTACAAAAGCTATTTAAAGGAATATTTTAGTATATGCATATATATTTTATATATAGTATATGCATATATATTTTAGTATATGCATATATATATTTTAGTATATGCATATATATTTTAGTATATGCATATATCTAAATAATAATTATTTTTTCTTAATTACCTTTTTTTTAATTACTAGTTTAGAAAGTTTTTTGTTTTTAATTCAATTTATTATATATTGCTCTAATTTTTTAACTTTTTTTAACATTTGTTTTTTAACACCATTTTCAAAAACTTAATATTGTAAAAACATGAATGCTGCACAGCGGTTCTGAAAAAACTTGTGGTCTTTTACGATTTGCTGTGTTTTTAACAAAAACACTGTTATTTTATGATAATTTGCAATACTTAACTTTTATCCTTTAAATTTCGTTTTGCCTTCATATATTTATAATTAGTTTATTTTTAAGTATATATAAGTTTTTAATACTACGAAATTAAATTGTAAAAGAATGAAAATAAATATATTAAAAAAAAAAAAAAAGTTGTGTTAGCATCGGAACTGCAAAATATTTATTTAAAATTTAAATTTGCATTGAGGATTATAGCTTAAATCAGAGTTTCCACTGTTGTTTGAAAATTTGATAGTTTAGATATTATCCTTTTGAGAGTAGCAAAAATTGATTTGTTTTTGTTCTTAGTGAAACATCCATTGATTAAGATTATCCTTAAGTATTATTGATGGTTGTCTTGGGTTATCATGGTGTTAGTAATTTTATTTTAGCGGGTAGTACAAGCTCCGTTTTACTATCCTTTGTTAACAATGCCATTTTTCACAGTTTCGAGTAGCTTTTTAATGTAAATGTTACACAGGTAATGTAATGGTAATGTAATGGTTAAGGAAAGGTAATGGTTGCCAAAATAGATAATAATTATTTAAGTTATATTTAAATTCATCTTATAAGTATATAGACTATGAAAAGAAACAGAAAAGCATTGGTTTTACTTTTGTAGATACAAAGTATACTAAAAATATTTAGCTGATAAATACTAAAAACTTTCATTTGAAATAATCATGGTCTGGTATTTGGAAATTGATTTTTATAATTAATGAGACGAGCAACATAATTCTACTGACAATAAAAAGATAGCAGCTCAGATTTATTCGTATTACCCCAGGCAATTTTTGCATAAGTTATACGGCAATGGGCTAAGGAGAATTAAAACTGTGTTAAATTGTGTTTATTTAAAGCATTTCTAGTTTTGAATATTACTTCTATATTTCGAGCAACTCTGCTTCACAACAAATTAATGTGATACTTTAAACTAAGGTTTTCATCAATATTGACTCCTAAAAAGTTACTTGTTAGTACTCCTTTTATTTGAATCTTGTAAATAAAAAGTAGGAAAAACACTAAATCTAATCCTTCAAAATGCAATCTAAATTTTACTGACCAATGCAATCTCCAAAGGAAAAATAGTTGTATTTTAAAATAAAAGAACTCTGAGATTTTTAATAACATTTAATAACATTTTTATCTAATATTTATTATTAATCATGTAATTATTAATAATATTTTCGCTAAATATTAATTTGATAACATTTATATCACATTATAAATGCCGTAATCGGGTCTAGAATTTTTAAAAAACTGTTCAAACAGTACTTTGACGGATTGGATTTAACGTTTCCCAAAAATTAGGGACATGATAGGAGGCAGTAGTTTTTTTTGAAGTTTGATGAAAAAGTATCCATTTAGTTTTCTCAACATTTAGTGACAACCAATTCAATTTAAACCATTCAGAAACTTTTGTTAATTCAATGTTTATATTTTGAAATAATGTTGTTTTGTTATAATGAGATAAAAAGAGATTAGTATCATTGGCAAACATGACCATCATTAAATTTAAAGCTTTAGGGAGATCATTAATGTAAATCACAAAGAGAAGAGATCCTAATATAGAATATTGATGTAAGTTTTATGTTATATCTAATAAATTGGAAAAGACAGTTGTACTACTTTAAACAAACTGTTTACTGTTGCTTAAATAATATTTAAGTATCATAAAATATTTCCTTTAATTCCATAATGCATTTTTATTTTTTTATTTAGGGTTTTCTAGTCGATGGTATCAAGACTTTTGATAAATCAATAAAAACATTTAACTTATTTGAGATTTTTCAAAAGATTCAACAATATTGCGGGTAGTTTAGATTATAGCGTGTTCGGTTGAATTACTTTTTTTTAAATTCGTATTGCCTTTGATACAGTATATTATTTATAGAGAAATGATTTAAGATTACATCATGTAAAATTCTATCTAAAATTTAAAAAAAAATAGGCAATATTGAGATTGGGCAACATTTTGGATCATTTGTTGCATCAACCCCTTTAAGTATGGGTGAAACTCTTGCTATTTTTAGATTGTTGTGAAAAATACCTTTATTTATTGAACATTGTAAAACTTTAAATAGAATATCTTTTAATGATTTTGTAAAAGTTGATAATAACATTGCAATAAATATCATCATGACCAACTGATTTATTAGATTTAAGGTTTTTAAAAGAAAGTTTAAGCTCCTTAAAGGAATTAAAAAAAAAAAGTTATTGAAAATGCATAATTATTCATTTTTTATTTCAAGATAGGAATTTCTTTGGCCAGATTAGAACCAACTGATACAAAAATTTTATCTAATTTGTCAGCAATTTCAATTCGATCATATAATGTTACTTCGTTAGTTTTAACAGTTTAAAATGCATTAATTGATTCAGCACTTGTAGTCCATCTAGTTTTAGAAAAGCTTTTTAAAATATAGTTTATTTTTTATACTATCCATTTCATTATTCAAATATTAATAACGTTTATTACTAGATGAAAAAAAATACCTATAAACTCTCTAAATTATCAGTCATACTCAATTTAACAATGCTGGCGTTGCAACCATGTTAAGGAAACCTATTCTATGGGCTTAGCAAGAAGCGTGAATCACTTTATGGATCACTTATTGACAAATTTGTTCTTGGGAGCCAATAATATTTTGCAACATACTGCTATCAAAGTCATACGATTGAATGTTTTCTGTGTTTATCGCATTATGATTTATTAGTTTAAAAATGTGTTCTGCACTATGTATAAAATGCAACTTTAATGGATTTGTCTTTAAATTCGAGTATTCAAGAAGTTTTTTTTTTACTGTTGAAATTGTAAACTGCTCTTTATATGAGACATACGAAGTTGCCATAGCGGAAGTAAGGTAGCATCTTCACATTCATTTCTAGTATATACATTTTTCTAACTTCATCCCAAAACAATTCAATCATTTAACTTTTTAAGATATCTCGCACAGTAAGCATGGATTCTGATAATGCCAAACTAGTTGACACAACAGTGCAACCTATATGAGGTGTTAGCGTACACATCAAGGTACCATTTGATACTAATTTTGAAATATTTTATTTTTGTTTGCGGAAAATAACTTAGTTTTAATCTTTAAGTTTAGTAAAATTTTGACGTCATAGATCAACAATAAACAAAACCTATAGTATAATAGCCACTACAATTTGATAATAATTAGTGCAAATGTAACATATGGTAGCACCAAATTCTAGATAAAATCATTTAAATTGGTTTACTGGTTAAAGACTTATGGCAGTTTTAGTAATAGTAATAGTAATATTTATTGCTGTAACAATTAAAAATTTGTTTAACTACATATATTTTAAAATAAAATAAATTGTGGAACGTGATGCAAGCATCGAGTTATAGACACCACACACAATTTAAAAAAAAATTTAAGTTATGAAAAATGTTTATCTAATCGCGCTTTGATAATATTCAACGATCTTGCTTCAATTATTTCATTTGGTAACAAATTCCAACTTTTACAAATCGCCTGGTAAAGAAATTATATTTCGGTAAACATGATGGTTTTTAACCTGTATTTATTGCATCTTACAAAAAAAGCCGGGTCTGAACTAGTCACGGATGATGCCGGTTTTAGATTTTTGTACCAATTTGTTTGGTTTATATTTTGCTTGAATCTGTATTTTTGTATAAGATCTCCTCTAGCTCCAATGTTGTTAAACCCATTGTTTTCAGTCCTTTTTCATATGAAATCTTTAAAGGTTGTGGAACTAACTTCGTTGCTCTTCTTTGCACTTTCTTTAACTCATCAATATCCCGTTGTAAATAAGGCTGCCATGCATGTTTAGCGAACTCAAGAAGTGTTCTCACAAATGTCGTATATAGTAATTTCACTATTTCTACATCGAAGTATGTAAACGTAAGTAAAAAGTTTTAGTTTATATTAACTTAATTTTTTACTACTTATACCTTAAAACGTTTCCGATTTCTGTGATATTCAATCACTATTTTTAAAATAAAGGTTACAGCGACTTTTCTATAATGTAATATCAACAACTTTTATTATAATCATTTTATTAGTACAAGTACCCAGCGGTACTTTTACTTCTACATGTACCTCATTCTATAGACAAAAATATTTAATTGCTATTTGAAGCTTGGTTTGATTTGGCTTATGCATAGCGTAAGTATCTTAACATTTTCTAATTAAATTATATCAGCAGTTTTTTAAAGATTCTAACTGTTCAAATCAGTTATACAGCCTAATATTCTTTTTTTTACTTTCTATGATTATAATTTTATTTATACCTTAACAAATGCTTAAAAAAGTCTCTATAAGCAGTTTTGACAGCTTGTTCACTATAGAGATCC